ATAATAAATAATAAAGCGTAATAAAACATGTGGTGTATTAGTTGCAACATGCTCTCTTTATCACGATTATAAACTTGACTTTGATTCTTTCTTCGATCGACATCAATCAGACTATCAGCTACGTAAGGGCAAAGGAGCGAAATCAATTTTCTGCTGAGAAACTCGGCCGTATAAGACATAAGAACGAAAGAGAGCGTAAGAGGAGAAGTGAGAACGCGATTAAGAGCAAGAATGAGAACAAGGGTAAAGTTGAGGGTGACCATGGTCGGACCTTGGTGGGGTTGATTCAGCCTCATAGCGAAGAATCGGCAGAAAATTCCTCGGGGGAATCAAATTGCCTCAAATCTAGATTTTTAAAATAAAATCGAATTCTTTAGATTTTTAAAACATCTTGTTATTAATCAATATTGTTATCGATCAATATCATTATATTTTATTATTTTTTGTCGAATATTTTCACATTAATGTGTGTGTGTGTGTGTGCAACAGAAAAGTTTGGTAGATTGCAAAATATATACAGTCATGAAAATAAAAATCCATGAATTTCATTATAAAAAATGTTTTACATATTTTACATATCCATTACTTTTTTGGCGTTCTTCAAAAATTCTCTAATAAATTTAATACTTTGAACGAAAAAATAACAATGAAAAAAGAAATATTTCTTGTCTTCGTATGTTTCATATATTTCTATCGGCCTTTTTAGATTCATTTGATTTCTCGAGTAAATCAAAAAGCAAGAAGAGCAATTAGTCAAATGTATAATTTATATCTCTTGCGATTTACAGAAATGCAGATTTTTCTATAAATCTGTTTTTATCTTAATTTGACTGGGAGTTATTTTTGTTATTAGAGGAAACTTTATTGTGTTTCATTATTCGTATATCTAAAATGATGCAACTTTGATATTCAACTATTTTTTACACTCTTGTACAATTCAATAGATTCCATGATTCTGTTTTGTAATTTAAATTATAGATGACAGGGATACTCGATTGAATAATATCTTGAATAATTAAATCTTTGTAAGCAACTTGAAGGATTTTTGTTTTTACCTTCTTTGAAAAAGAACATGAACAATTTAATATCTTAAAACGTTTCAGAGCGAAAAAGAGAAGTTATTAAATTCCAATTTTTATCGTAACGGATAGTTTATGCTTCAGAACGATAAAACAGAACCGATAAAATTAGATAATACTAGGCGATCAATAACCGTAATTTATGAAATAAAAAAATGAAGCAAAAATAAGAAACATTTGTAAAGAGCATAAAAATCCTATTTGACAAGCAAAGAAATAAGATTTGTGTGTTGCGTATATTCCAAATTTTTATTACTCGGATATCTACTATTCAGAATGCTCGCAAACAAGGAGGAGTTCAAAGATATTTTGATTACAGAATATACAAAAGTAATATGCAATATGCAAAATATACAAAAGCGAATTCTCCCTCATTATCTGCATCTTATCTACATTCTATCTTATGTCGCGAATCTACGCGCAGGGAGATTGGGCATGAGTTTCTGACAGCGACTGTACTCGCGCTGGAAAATCCATTTCGTTTTAACTTTACGTTCAAATTGAATGTTTTGTAGTTGTGTGTCGACTTGGGTGAGATGTAGCTGCCGGGGTGGAGAAACGAAGGAGGGGTAGATAGGTAGGTAGGTAGGTTGACGTGGTGGAAGTTGATAGAAGATAGGAGATGGTAGTGGAAGGGGTTGGTAGAGAGGGATCGAGTCTGGCACGGGGAAGGTGGATGGGTGGTAGAAAGGGAGTTGTGGAGGTACCAAAGGAGAAAGGCAGGTGGCCGTATTTCGCTCTCCCTCTTTAAATCACATTCATCAGAGGCAGATGGCCGCACCGCTCCATTCCGCTTCCCTCCACTTCACTCCGCGCAGGGGTGGTACACAGTGCACGGTACCAAAGAAGGTGCAGCACCCGCGAGAGGGTACAGGCAAGGGGGCAGATCCGTGTACCGGAGGAAAGAGAGCGGATGAGCGAGATGGTCGATGAGGGGTCGGGGGAAGACAGGGGTATAGAGGAGAGACTGGGAGACGTGCGGATATTGATTCCCACGGGATATGCGCGCGTTCAACGAGACTCGGAAGTCTGAAACGTACATATGCTGTTTTTAAGAACGTATGCATAATGCGCATTGTAGGACTGCTACTATATGTACATATATGTCTGTACATATATTACTATATGTATATGTCGTTGACCAAACATCAAGATACTTGATAAAAATTATTCCATTATATAATAATCACAAAATATTGAAGATGAAATAATTATAAAAAGAGATGAGATTGGAGATGTAATATCAATAACGAGAAATTCTTTCACGGTAAACTGAAAGAAAGCAAAAATTACAATATTTATCAGTCACAAATATTAGACGCTAATGTAATAATGATAATGTACTGATAAGAGAAAAAGCTAAGGATATTGTATTGCTATATTATTGACTTATATTAATAATGTTTTAATGGCTACAATTGTTATGACATAATTAACAAGCCAGTAATTATACAAAAATATGCATAGGTTAATATAAATTTATGATACTATCATCAATCAATCCTGTAACTTGCAAAACAAATCGACTTTAAGAATCGCAGTGTCCAATTTCATTTTGCATCAGTATATCAATATATTGCATTCATCATTATTAATGTTAACAAGTTAGTAATTTGATATTTGATTATGTTTAAAACATATAATAAATGATAAAGTCAAGTGCAATTAAAGCATATTGTTCTAATAAAATTGTTTGCATTTGTTGGATTAGTTGGATTCATGCGGACGTGAGTGAACGAGGAAAGGAAAAGATGAAAGTGAAAGAGTAGAGCGGCCACAGATTGCAAAGAAACGAGGCAAGATATAAGAACAGTTTTAAAGTTGTAATCTTTAGACGATGGCGTAGATAATGGATATGTGTCATAAGGGAGACTTTAAGGAAGCTCAAGGAAGGAAAGGTCGAAAAGAAGAAGTAAAAGATATCATGTTTCTGATCCTACGGCTTCATGATTCCTCTTCTTCGTTTTCCTTCATGTTCCCTCCGCCTGGCTGATTGGTTGGCTGGTTGGCTGGCTAGATAGCTCGCTTGGGGCGAAAATCCAGCGCGCGTAAACCAACACACGTATGCCACTACAAACTCCACTCTACGACATCCACTTGCCAGCCAGTTCTGGCTAACCACCTTTCTGCTTGCTAGACTGTCTGCATGCTGCTCGCTATCTACTACTACTACTATTACTACTATCACTACCACATATCTCCAATGTTGCTACTCATCACTACTACCAACATTATTACTACTACAGTGACAACAGCAAGCCACTGTTACTGCTGCTGGCGTTGCTCCGGCTACGATCTATAAGCATGTTTCATGAATGAAATCCACGTGCAAACCACGTGACTACTATCCGTGACTGATTCTATTTGTACGATGTCAACAATAAGAGAAATACTTCACGATATAATGTTTTGCATTTCTTCTTCACAGTTAGTCTATAATCAGTCATGATACACACTTAGTCACGAGGAATTCTTAAATAATAAATTTCAGATATCCAACGACACGATCAATCTTATTTGTATAAATCTATGTATAATACAAAAAACTATATATATATGTTTATTAATTAATTAATAGCATTTGAATATCTTTATGCATGTATCGTGTAAATAAATATGTTAATTAATTAAGTGACCTAAAAATATAACAAATTCTGTCAATATCTTATTTAATGCTTGATATGATCAAAATAAAAAATGCAACAACTGTCTTAGATTTATAATTCATAATAAAATTTAGCTTCTCAACATTATAAAAGTAATTGCTTAAACAAAGTGTCGTTAAGACCGATTATATTCAAAAAGGTGTTGCAAACTGATAATGCTTTATGTTGACTCAACTTTATGTATTACGAGAGAGTTGTGCTTCCACGATTTCCTCTATTTTCGTGTTTATCACAATCTCATTACCTTCTGCTATTAAATAGACCAGCATGCGATACGAATCGAAAACGATAAGCGTGAAGCTCGTATGTCACAACTCTCGTAACCCTTACCCAATAATTTAATTACCGGAAATAAAATAAAATCATTCTTAAAAATAGCGCGATCATCCCTAAATCGTATCATATTCATATGTATTACGTATGCAGTTTCGATAAAAAAAGTCGAGGCATCATTGGCGGCTTATTTTTATAATACTATGTTGAGAAAATTTGTGCTCAATAGATTGGACCAGTTAATAAATATCAAGTAGATTATTACAGAAGATATATATTAGCTATGATGAAAGATAAAACTTCAGATTTTTTGTTGTTAAACAGACAGATATCTATCACATGCCACGGCGTGTTCATTCAATACGCTCGAAAAGACAGTGAAGCTATAAAGAGTGCAAAGGTAGTATCCATGACTCCAGGGGTTTCCGTTGAGCGACGCGGGCCATACGCGTTCCCGTCGGAGTCGCGCAATGAGGAGGGAAGAAGTCGGTCTAAACGGACAGTCGCGAGAGAGTAAGATGATTGTACGTATACATTGAGCGGTTAAGAGAGAGAGAGAGAGAGAGAGAGAGAGAGAGAGAGGGGTAGAAAGAAAAGGAGAGGGAGGGAATGAGAAAGAGAGAGAGAGAGCAGCGTTGAATAGAACAAGTAGCAACGTTAAGTTCCATGGTGGGGTGACCCACCTCGCGCCGTGTACCCGCGGCACTATCGCGGCAGCACGCATAGCGCGCGATGTCGCACGCAACCTAACCCAACTTAAACTCTAACCTAACCCCCAATCTTAAACTAACCTAACCTAACCTATAACCTAACCTAACGCGTGTAACGTGACGCTTGGTTTATATAACGTTCGCAATCCGTGCGCTCAGGCTCAAGGTGCACAGCCCAAAGCTTTACAATCCGCGCTCGCGCGCGCGCCCGCGCTCGCGCGGTGAAGGAGCGAAGAGTCCCCGTCACGAGAGTGTAACCATCAACTGTATAGTTGCCATTGCCGCTACCACTGCCGTTCGCTCGCTCGCTCGCTCGTTCGATCGCGCGCGCAGGGTCGCTAGTAGTCGTTCTTTCTTGTACGAGTCGCACTCGACGTCTTACGTAGCACCTGCCGACCAGTGACGGCGTTCACGTGCTACGACGGCAGTTCAGTTTTAATCGTGCGTACATCGAGCTGATCGTGCTGATCGACAGTGATCGAGATAATAACCGTCACTTTCGGTGCTTTCGATCGACGTAATTTGTGCGATGCCACTGTCATCCTTTTTTTTAAAAAGATTGCTAACACTAAACTTGAAATAGTAAATACTTGCCGATTTCGCGGTAAGACGTTCAAATATCTCGATAATCGAAAACATCTAGATCTCGATCATCAAAAGCATCGGATCGCACAAGTTTCGACTTATATCGTGGTCGGTAGGATTATTCGCGCAAGTCGTGAATTGTTGCATTCGCGCCACTACGAGCTACTACGCGCGTCGCGATTGATGAGTACACTGTACGAAGCGGGTTAAACCGATCGAGTGTGATAAGACGAGGCTGACATCGTGTCGCGTCGGTGCGCAGCGAATCATACGATGAGCGACGGTATAGTCGGTGCAATTGCGATCAGTTTGTTCGGTACTAGTTGTCAAACTGTGTCTGTGCGTGATAGATGGCTTTTCATTCACAAAGACTCGTTCCAGGCGGTGAGAAGAAACGTCGGGTCAGTATGGATGCTGGTTATTCCGTTCTCAGTAGCGATCTCGAATCTTGCAGAATGTATGACCAATATTCCTATAAGGTAAGTCGAGATCATTAATAATGACAAGTATCCCAATTAATTTTGCAAATTTATCTAATTTGTGCAGAGAGTATTGATAATCGAAAGTAAAGCGAAGTTAGTAGTTTTTCAAGAAAATTTAACAATAAAAAACTACATATATTTTATCGAATTTATAAAACGACTACGAACTATCGTCATTAAAGTGTGTTCTGAGAATCGGATCATAGATGTTACATCGTTACTATTTTATGCAAAATCTCTGTTGCTAAACACAATTTTATATATATATTTATTGTTATAAAATAAGATGGTTTTTTAAATATATATTCTATAAGCATTCTTATATTCGACAATTTCTGAAAAAGATTAGACAGCTATTAGTGGCTGGATCGTCCTGTATTGGTTTAAATTTTTACTTTTACTTGTGTTAAATAAGATTTTTTTTTCAAATATATATTTTATAAGCACTCTTATATTCGATAATTTTTGAAACACATCAGACAGCTATTAGTGGCTGAATCGTTCTGTATCGGTTTACATTTTTACTTTTACTTGTGTTAATTTCTACACATTTATAACAACTGTATAAATAATATTACGTATACACATAAATTCGAGGATAACAAGATCATGAAAAATAAAATAATAAAAATGCATGCTGTTATTTATTCTAAGGAGTAGTTTTTTATATATGAAGATTTATATACAATGTGTATGTGTGTTTAACCAATGATGAGCGTTAGTTAAAGAGCCATTTGTGCGATCGGAAACTATGCGAACTATGCGAACAGTGGCATAATCTTTTGTCTAGCCTTAGTAATCGTGAAGTGTCCGGCAACTAAACCACTGTACACGCAACTCACATACAAATGATTTTTTAAACAACCCTTATGATTGGAGTCGACCTTTAAATTCTTATATTTAAAAAATTATTTTTGCAATAAAAAACGGCATAAATTTTTATTTAATTTTTTTATGAATTTTCATATAATCTTATAATTTTCGAATATCCTGTATATTTTTGTGAAAAGCCCTTCTTTTTCAATTATAATTCGAAAATTATTGATATCTCGACACTTTTGCTGAAAAAAAATTATCTTCAATTTGGCCAGAGAATCTGTTATTAGAAAAACATTCTGTGTTTTTTTAACACTGTGCAATATATACAATATGTATATGTGTGTGTATGCTGTGCGCGCTTGCGCGCGTGCGTGCGTATGCGCGCGCACATATATATTTGTGTAATATCTTTTATCATATTTAATAATTTATACCAACACAGATAGTAAATTTGAGAGAAAAAGATCATACTTTATTCAATATTTTTTAATTATCGAAATAAAATCTTTTTATATTTTTTGGCCTTTTTTATTTTGAGCGATTAATAATTATCTTTATATCTATTTATATACATAGATATAAAAATAATCATTAATCGTTCAAAGTAACTGATGAAAAAGTAGAAAGATTTTATCTTGATTAATTAAAAAAATACTCAGCGAAATATACTTTTTCATTTGCTACCCATATATATATATATGCTTGCGTGTTCTACAAACATAATACAGTCTAATTACATATAATAATCGTGAATCATGAGCAATGATGAAAAAATTATTAATTCCCCTTAATGCCTTGATATTTGATGGTCGGCAGCATTCGTGATTTGTGTTTCTGCTCTTATTCAGTGCCCGTACCACAAAAGGTTCTCTTGTTTTCTTTCCTTTTTCACTTTGTCTTTCTCTTTTATTACCACCCACTACTATCGCAATCGGCACTACTACCACTATTACATTCAACGTTCATATTCCCTGTTCAATCTGAGAGAGATTTGAAATATTCGTCTAAATTAAATCTCTTCCATAAAATACACCGTTGTATCTGGCATCGCACGATCAATGTTTCCAATCGTGTATATTCATCCATTGAATCTTTTGCTATGCATAAAGCAATATGGCGAATATTAATACGATTCATCTGCGCAGAACGTTCATCCACGCGTAATTATCTAATCAAATAATCGTTCCTCAACTTTTCATTAATCTTGATATATTTTGATATATGATAAATTTATAGGATCCAGATTTTTATTAAGAAATATTTTCAAACTATGACTTATTATCGCGATATTTTATTTATCATGCATAGAAAACTTTAAATAAATTACTTTCATCATGATAAAATCAGTTTATATATCGTTCGATTTAAAATGTTTAACTGAGCATATTAATCTTTATGTTATTTTGATCTGAAAAAGAAAAACATTTCGAAAATCGAAACATGACACCTTACGGCGTTCGCGATTAAATCGATAGGCCATCGAGTTAGTGCAATTTTCCCTCTTC